TTTACATCACTTTTTTCCTTCTTTTTTATCTGCTATATTTTATGCTTTTTCATATAAACTTGATTTCCTTTTTTCTGGAGGGCACTGTTTTCTGTCCATTAACCTCTCACCTCTTGCCACAAAATTAGGTTTTCCAACCTAGCAACTTCTTTACTGTTGCCTTTAAAGGTACAGTTTCTTTCTGTGTTTTTAAGGATACAAGTTCAGCCTCCCCCATTTGCCCCCTCCAGGACTTGTAAAACACTTCAGAAGAAAAATTCCACAATCTTGTTGGAGAGACAAATAGAAATATATCAAAGCAAGCCTGCCAGATACAGGACAGTCTAAAACAAAATGTACCACTCTGTTCATTTTAGCTTATTAAACAGGGGCAGGGGAGAAAAGTGCACTGTATTGAAACACTGAAGTTGAAATAAGGCTATCAAACAACGTGGTTAAATAAACATTTAGACTTAAAAGTCTCTATAAAGAACCTTTCAGAAACTGCTACATCTGACTGTAGTACTTTTAGTTCTCATGGTAGTTTTGCTCAGTGCTGCTGACATGGGCTCTTGTTGCCTTTCCCCTTCTAAACAGACTAACCTGTGACTTCTCCAGGAACCAGCTGAATATACAGGACCACATAAGCAATACAGCTCTGAGGACATCAACACAGAGAACATAACATTAGGGGAAAAAAAACCAAGCAAGGATGGCACATTTAAAGCAAAAGTTAAACATTCTGGTACAGTGTTAGAACGAGAGATGGGATGTAACAAAGACTCTGTTCAGAAGGTTTGGGTTTGGTTTGTTGTTTGGGGTTGTTTTTTTTTTTTTTTTTGGGGGGGGGGGGGGGGGGAGGCAGAATCCTAACCCCCCAGAAGAGCCATGATTCTTGGAAGTGAAGCATCATTGCACCTGTTCAAAAGATTATGACAAGGGAACCCATTCTGAGAAAAACCTCCGCCTCACATGTGATGACATGCTACCATGCCTCCAGCTACTCTTCATTTTCCCTGTGCCTATGGGTATGTCTACAGGGTAATTAAAAGGTGCAACCACAGTTCAAGGAGAAACAAACTTGTTTTGAATGAGCTAGTTCACGTGTCAATGCACATGGTAATGTTGCAGGGAGAGCAGCATAACGAAGTTACAATGAAAACAAGGACAGATACACCAAAGATTAGTTTGATTCAAACTATTAGCTTACAGAGTGTTCTATTAACTTCTGTTAACTATTAATTGCCACAGGTATATACAGAATAGCTTTAGAAAAACTTGTTTCTAGGAATAAAGTTGCAATCCCATTTCTGGATAGCCCATACACATCCCAACTTTGTTAAGTCTTTCGTTAACATCAAGTAGTCAGAGTAGAAAATATGCCAGTGAACAAAAAAAAACACAGAGAAACGGCAGCTTGAATAAAAGATAAAGAGACTATTAAACACAACCATTCAGCACCATTTGGGAATTCTGCAGAAACAGCAGCCCAGTATTTTCACAGTTCACGACCTATCTTTTCAGCCCGGAGTTTCACTTTTCACGATACGCCCTCATGAGGCAAAGCTTAAAATCATCACTACACGTATTCTTCCACGAGCGATACAAATTTAAAGATTATGAATGGGACGAGTTTCCGCTGGCTCTGAGGACTCGGGAGAGGCAGCAGCTGGGGGCGGCCACCATGGCTACAGGGAAAGCACAAACCCTCCCTCGCATGCAGGCGCTCAAAGAGAGAATGTTGCAGCTGGGATAACGCGAGGCTACGAGGTGATGTTTGCAGGGAGAAGGTACAGCGTTTGTAACATCAACTGAGATCACCGCGGGGGGGAGGGGGGAAACACACGACCCAAAAACCGGACAAGCTTGGAAGACCCAGGAGAAAGTTTCTCTTCCCCTCTGCCGCCTCCAGATCAGGCACTGCCGCTCCTCACGCCCCGTCCCGACGGAGGACAAGGCGGCCGGGCCCCCCCTTGCGGCACAGCCCTGCCCGACTCCCCGCCGCCACCCCGCCGACTCCTACGGCCGGGAGAGCGCGGCGCTTC